CAATGGAGCTCCTTCATCTCCTCTAGCAAGAGAATCCCAAATCAAATCGAGCCAAAAGCAAAGAACTATGTCGTTACTCACTGGTAGCCGACGGGCCAAGGAAAGCCCATCACCGCTGCTCATAGAAGCCGCACGCTTTGGGTTAGGGTTTGTAGAAGAAATAATGGGTTGAGAACTTTGTATGAAATGGGTCTTTAAACGGGTCATAAATGGGTCATGATAGGGTCGAGTTATACGGGTCGACCAAATTATGACCCATACCCATATATGTCAACCCGTACCCATTATTAACGGGTCGGGTCGGGTTGACAGGTTGGGGCAGATATTGCCATTCCTAGTTAGAACTAGCAGTTAATTGAAACCCTTCCACAGAACATGACATCATTAACATCAAATAAGGAATCTACACTCAAGTTCCTTCAGTTCCATGATTCAAGCTTGCCACAAGAAATTTGCATGTGGGATTCTATCAAAACTACATGCGACGGTTAACAACTTCCCTAGTGGATGTATAAGAAAACAAAGTTCTTTCATATTTTATTTATATTTTTCTCTTCAATTTTATTCGCAGGAAGAGAAGGGTAAAATCTCAAACACTTCCAATTTTCTCAGAAGGAGATGAATACTTTGATTTTGATTTGGAAAAGGTGCCCTCCAACTGAACATGCAAATCTTATTATGATCTATTATCCCCAAAACGTATAGAAACAAAATTTTCAATACTTTCGACAGAACACTTACCCATGCATCAAAGCGATCAAAAGTTCTACACTTTATTCTAATCGATCTTTTTGGCAACAAAATGCAGGGGCGACAAAAAAGTTAAAAATTTCCATTTCTAGATATTTTGTGGGTAATAAATCATGCTTACTGGTGTGTACTTTTAGGTACATCTTCCGACATAAAAGGAAAGTATTTGCTTCATGGATACTCCTAAAAGTAGGTTCTCCAACATGTACGATACCGACCTTGACCTCCTCTTCCAAATCGAAACAATTCAACATCTCCATCTCCAAACAACATCTTGTGAAACAATTCAGCATTAACTCTTGCAAGTTATCGTCAAACCATGGGCATTCAACTTTCCTCCATTAAAATTCAATTAAATACACAATAGTATAATATCGAAATTGGATTTTTTTAATAAACCAACAAAGAAACAACAAATTTTAAATCCTCTAGTTTATACAGGAGTTTGACGAGAATGGAAAATACCCTTTTCTTGTCCTCAATTTCAACCGCTAAACAAACCAACACACGAAAGTTGCTTACTTGCTTTGTACACAATTGTTAGACATTCACAATTTTGCATTTAAGGTC